AGAATCCTACTTATTTGGTTTCTTAACACAAAAATTGAATAATAAAATTGATAATGAATTACTAATTGTTATTAAGAATTATATATATAAAATATGTTGTTTTCATAACTCCCTTAATATTAACGCCTTAGTAAACACAATCAAAGATTATTATAATGTACAAAGATTTATTGCAATAAGCAAGGGAGATAACTCCAAGGAAAAGTTTGATAAATATTGGAAAAAATGGGAAAAAACTTATTGCATTATAAATTATTCTTTACTTGTTTCCCCTGCTTTGATTAGTTAGTCGAATCCAGTTAATCCTATCTTTATCTTCATATAATATTAACAGTTATCCATCCTATCTTTATCCTTCACCCCTCCCTCTCGCTAATCTTCTGATTATGGCTGAAGTATGAATGCAAGGTGATACATTTTTGACACAATGGGTATGTAAGATGTACATTATACATGTACATTCACTATTCTCTTATAGATCTATATATATGTTTTATTAATAACCCAATACTGTTCAGAGGATGCATGGTCTCATACCAAGTACATACATTATTGTTTTAATCAGTACTAGTGGTGGTTTGTGTTGTATGCGTGACATTTGGCTAATACAAGTGTGTATGTACATGTAAGCTGTATGTGTGGTTAGTATCATATGTGTGGTATATTCAATACCAGTGTGCACTTGGATTGTCAGTTGGTATGTGTGTGGTGAAAAATGAATTATCTGCTTTGTATGTGAAGAATACAAGGTCAACAAATTTGCTGTAGTTTGAAGATTTATGATGTACAATGTATTGTTATGTGTTTGTGATGATAAAACTGAATAAAAAAAAACTATGAAGGAAATTAAAAGATGATTTTCACATTACTGTAAAGCATGATTTAGCTCAATATCTAGTCAGAAAGAGGTATAACTATGTACAAGTAGCTTCAACATATTATCTAACACTGTGTAACAGTTAAACTGCAGAACATTAAAAATAACCTTGACAGATCAACTGCGCAATAGACCGGTCTCATTGTCACTGTTAGCTACAACACACAACAAGGAAGTATTAGTGTCTGTTTAGTCCGTACATGTAGATCAGCAATTACAAAAGAATTTATCTGTTTATTCGGGGGGAAAAGAGCTCTAATAGAAGAAGGAGAGGAACAATAACTTGGTCGACAGTGATGATACATTTGTATGTGTGTTTCTTTTGACAATCAGAAGTGTGAAGATACAGAGTTGGCTTCCTGAAAACACCTCTCATTAAACATCCAGGTAAGTTTTAATGTATTCACCTGAGGGTAGGGTGGTGTGGTGTGTGTAAGATTTGTGGGGCACAAGAGACAGTCCAGAGGTGTTGTGGAGTGAAATGGTGTGGGTGATAAGTGTGATAAAAGGTTCAATATATTTTTGCAAAATGCATCCGACAACCATTGTGGGGTGATATAGGATATGGTGAAATGCAGGTATCTTTAAACACGTCTTATAACCAAATACGTATGTGTACATACCTACAGTACAGGTATGTTTCATTACCCGATACACAAGTTTATCTACCTACAGTATAGGTATGTCTTATTACCAAATAATATGTGTTAAGGGTTTTGTACAGAGCGGTATGTCTCGCAAATTGGTCAGCTACACTAAAAATAGAAAAAGGGAATGATCATGACAGTGAATGGTCATTGCAATGTGATAACCCCGCATGAACATCATAAACTTTCTGATTGTTGTGTTCCTGTATAATTGGACAAGTAGTAGTTGTAAAGGTTTGTCAAATTGCGATTACCTATAAAGACACAAGTGTAACAACGGTAGTGACAGTAGGAACAACAAGAGGCCAAAGGACCTCGACAGTCATCTGACTTGACTATAAAGACATAAGTGTAACAACAGTAGTGATAGTAGGAACAACAATTGTCCCACGGACCTTGACGGTCTCTTGACTTAGCTATAAATGTAACAACAGTTGTGATAACATGGACACCAAGAAGCTCACTGACCTTGACGGTCACCTGACTTAGCTATATATGTAACAACAGTTGTGATAACATGGACACCAAGAAGCTCACTGACCTTGACGGTCACCTGACTTAGCTATATATGTAACAACAGTTGTGATAACATGGACACCAAGAAGCTCACTGACCTTGACGGTCACCTGACTTAGCTATATATGTAACAACAGTTGTGATAACATGGACACCAGGAAGCTCACTGACCTTAGATAAGTCATGGAACTGATGACTGCCGCTTGCGTTAGATCGATATTTAATGTGGCAGTATCTTTGAAACCGCAGGAAATAAAATTTCACGTTCAAACTAATAAATGATAAATAATTCAAAATACTGAAATAAAATGAAAAAAAAAGTGGAAAGAGATCTTTTACATTACGGTAAAGAAAGTTAAGCTCCATTTCTAGTTAGGTAGAGCTCCATGATCAACATATAATTATCTAACAATACGTAACAGTTACGCTGCAGAACTTTAAAGAATAACCTTGGCAGATCAACTGTGCAATCTACCTACCTTATCGTTACTGTTAGCAACAACACACAACAAGGAACTAATATTGTCTGTTTATTAGTCCGTACATGTAGATCAACAATTATAACAAGGAATTTATCTGTTTATTCGGAGGATAAGAGCTATAATAGAAAGAGAGAAACAATAACATGGTCTGTGTATTTCTTTTGACAATCAGAAGATACAGAGTTGGCTTCCTGAAACCTCATTTTCTCAAACATCCATGTAAGTTATAATGTATTCACGTAAGGTAAGATAGGGTGGTGTGGTGCGTGTAATATTTTTGGGGTACTTGAGTCGGTCCAGAGGGGTTTTGTGGTGAGTGTGGGAAAGGGTTGAATATATTTTTGCAACAGGCAACTGACAACCGTTTTAGGGTGATATAGGGTAGAGGGATTGCAGGTATATTGAGTAACATTACAGGAACATCTTATTACTAAATACATATGTGTATATACCTACAGTATGGATGTATGTCATTACACGATACACATGTTTATGTACCTACAATATAGGTATGTCTTATTACACAGTACAGAAGTATACATACTTACAGTACATGTATTATTTCTTTTTACATCATACATCTACCAATACCACAGCCGTGGTTACTGAAATATGATAACCTGGTACTTACCGATTGTTGTATCCCTCTATGATTGGGAAAGTAGTGGTTGGAAAGATTCGCCAAATTGTGATTTGCTATAAAAAAAATCATACGTGTAACAGCAGTAGTGATAGTTGGAACAACAAGAGGACCACGAACCTTGACGGTCATCTGAATTAACTATAAAGACAAGTGTAAAAGCAGTAGTGATAGTAAGAACAACATGAGACCAACTGACTTTATTTCAAGCTTAAAATACTAAATGATAAATTATTTAAAATACTGAAATGTGTATTTATGAAAATTATGAAAGAAGTAGAAAGATATCTTTTGAATTAGTGTAAGGCAGGATTAAGCGCCATCTCTTTGTTAGGTAGAGCTCCCTGTTCAACATATAATTATCTGACACTACGCAACAGTTACACTTCGGAACTTTAAAAATAACCTTGACAGATCAACTGCGCAATATACCGGTCTTATCGTGACTGTTAGCAACAACACACAACAAGGAAGTATTAGTGTCTGTTTATTAGTCCGTACATGTAGATAAGCAATTACAACAAGGAATTGTACAAAGACAATTGTAATGACAACGCAATGTCATTATGCATTTAAAACTAATTTGACTAAGTACAGCTGATCAGGTACTGTCTTATGATATTTAACTTATCACAAACTGTCAATATCAGTTATTCACGGTTCTCACGTCTCAAATTTACAACTTCATTCATTCAAGGAGATACATATTAACATGTTACTTACAAAACTGCCATGGTTTTACGTCTGTATTTTAATGGGTAAACATTTTAGTCAATATTTATTTCCGAAATCTATTTTATTTCTCCCCTTTTGTCAATGGACGCCGAATTTGCCCTTTATAACTTCTTAAAAAATCCTATGTTGTTGTATAGAAGACGGTGATTTAAATATAAATATGATCAGTTGGTTTCTAGTTCAGGTCTGTTTCAAAATTTGCTTTTCTTATTTTGAAATTGGCTTTTACAAGCTCCTTTTTGACAATCCTGTCCAAATTAATAGAAATTATGCTATTAAGATTACCTTACAAACACAACGCAAATGCTGATCTCTGACTGTAAATATTTCTAGAAACTCGCAAAATGTGACCGAAAAGATCTTTCAATCGAAAAATACAGTAAGAAATAGTTAAGAATTTCACGAAGCAGAAATTAATATTATCGGAGTTACTTCCCCTACGTAAAGTTTCAAACTTTAAAGCGCTGCGACGACTTTGACAGAAACCATCCTTGCAGACGACAGAGGAGGAAGATTTCCTCGCAAAATGGTGTGATAGATGTATTTAAGATGCAAATTGACGTAACTTTTGTGAGAAAAAAAAATCAGGTTAAAGCATAGACTTTCAAATCTGTAGTCCGTGGTTAAACAGTTTGGTCATAGCTCAAGTCTCGCCTGTACGTGGTACGTACATGGGGATGGGGCACCGCCTTAAATCGTCAGAGAACGAACATTTTACATCCCCGGAGTCAGTAACACACTAGTGTGATGTTCCGTCAATAAGGTTATTTGTTAATATGAAAAAGACCAAGCTTTAAAATGAGCTGCTAATTAATTGCGTATGTATTTATAATTACTACAAATGACAGAAGTGCGTTGTACCTGGATAAAATAAGTCATAATCAAAGCAATTAAAAAATAGGAGTCATTCCACGTAAGGTAACTCTTATGTTTTATATAATTACTGATTGGGTTTGTTTTCGCCTACAGTTCACACACTGTGTTGTCATCTTGCAAACAATGCACAATGTTGACGTGTGCTTTTTGATAATTACACACTCAATACCCAAGTACCAGGATATTTACATAGACACTTCAAATCAACACATATCTTGTAAAGTGTACTCAGTTCAAATATAATTATTCTGTCAATAAATTAAATGAAAATATATTATCATCAAGCAAACATGGAATACTTTTGTGTGATGATATAAGGGAGGTAACTCTGACAGACAACAACTCTTTTATCACTCTAGAATAATATTCTGCATCTAGATTTGTTAGTTATTACAACATTAAAGACTAAAATACTTTATTTCGAATAATTAAGTTGTATTTATATATTTACCCAAACTACATTTAGTGTACTATAATAAAAACACCAGGAACAAAATGTATTATGGAACAAAACTCAGTCTGTTAAAAAAGTCAACATTGGGGCCAGGTGTCTGCTAAAATGTGTAAGCATTTTTCATGATTCATTATCCTATGTTACCACACCATCATCAGATGGGTTGGCTTTTCAAAACACCCTACATCCATGGTCTTTCATCTGTCTGTCTGTAAACAATGTTCTTAAGTGTATTTCTTGAGAAGTACTGGATTTCAGATGTAGGTTACCAATGGTCCCTAGTTGTGCCTATTTGATTTTGGGTCTATTCCGGATTTTGACTTTGAAAGTTTGTTGTTATTTATTGAGAAATACTTCAAAGAACTTTCTCACCTTTCATGTATAAGCTCCTCTTGTTCTTTAGTTGTGCCCATTTGATTTTGGGACTGATCCAAAACATAAAATGGCCAACAGGCAGCCATCTTGGGATTTCGCCGAATAAAGATTGTTATCCCTATTTGTTAAGAAGTACTAAGTAGATTCCCAATGTCCCATATGATTTTAGGTTGGATCGGAAAGACTAAATGGCAGACATGCGGCCATCTTGGATTTTGTCAAGAAAATTTTATTGCTGCTATTTCTTGAGAAGTACTGGGTGGATTTCTCTCAGATTTCCTATATAGGTTTCCCTTTTTCCCTAGACTGATCAGAAAAAAAATTGTTTTGAAAGTTTTTTATCACTATTTCTAGATAACTAATGCATAGATCTTTCTCAAATTTCATGTGTATATTTCCTTTGATCCTTAGTTGTGCCTGTTTGATTTTTGTACTGGTAAGAAAAAGAAAATGGCGAACAGGTGGCCATCTTGGAATTTGATTTTATAAAGTGTTTTATCGCTATTTCTAGCAAATTGATCCATAGATCTTTTCAAATTTTATGTATAGGGTCCTCTTTGTTCCGAGTTGTGCTTGTTTGAGTTCGGGACTGATCAGAAAAACGAAATGGCTTCCAGGCAAACATCTTGTATTTGGCAGGTAAAGATTATCATTGCTATTTCTGCAAAGGAATGCTCAAATTTCTTATTGTTGAGAGCAAAAACAGAAACGATAGGAGAAAAGAAGGGAAAAGATCCAACTTTCAATGAGCAAATAAAGATCAAACAACAGTGGGCACCAAGATCCCTCTGGGATCTCGTGTATTTTTAACACAAATTTTTTTTTCTTGAACAGCATATTTATTCAACAGTATTTCAAGACCTTATTGCCTTTTGTTCTTTTCAGCATTTTAAACCTCTCTCAGTTTTTAACACATCTCTTGTGTTTTAATTAATCACAAAACATAGCACTGTTCACCCTCTTGGCATTTTGACTCATTATTACCATTTCCAATGTTTTTGTATTCATTTTCATTTATTTTTTTAAATTACAGCTTACAGGTATAGGTATAATAATTAAATTTTTATAGACATAAAAAACACAAAATCAACGATTTTGACTTCAACAGCCATTTTCAGCCCAAATGCTTGGTTATACACATATTACAAACATTGAAAGTATTTATTCAACCTTTTACATGAACCTTGACTTGGAGAAATGTAATCAACGCAAAAATGTAAGTTTCAGGATTGTCTATTTCATGACACTTCAAGAGTGCAAATGCACTATAATAGGGGTGTTTGTTTCATTGGACCAACATAGTTACAACTGGAGGCTCAATTTGAAATTACTTTAAAAACATCTGAGTTTGATTAATTGATATACAAGTTCTACTGCTCTAAGACCATTTGTCTGTTCCTCTGTCTTCTGGCCTTTAGGAAAAGCCACTTCTCCAGAAAGGATAATGATATTACAGATGCAGGACTTCCATATTCCCCTGGTTGGTTTGATTTTATATCAATATATGGAGTACATCATTTAATGTATTTTGTATTGTAATTGTGTTAAGTTTGGTGAAATTGTATTTCCTGAACAGCATATTTATTTTTACAAAAAGTTGATGCCTTTTTGTTCAGTATTGAATTTTTTTTATGAGATCTCTCTCAACTTTAAACCAGCATTCCTTAACAGAATTTAGACTTGACAATATTTAGAAGAGTTATTTCCCTTAGTTATTTTAAATATTTGAATCTATTTCCATTATTTCCTTTTTAGCTCACCTGGTCAGAAAGACCTATGGGCCTCTTGTTTAAAAAAATTATGTATTGCTGTTTTCTCCCATTGTTTAATGACTAGACAAGGTTTTTTTTTTTGTCTTTTTAGTGGTCTTTATTAAAATAACATAAACTGTGTTATTCCAGTGACATATTGATAAGGAATGTTTACTTTATTGCTACAGTTGTATTTATTTTGGTAAATGATGTACATGTATTTCTCTTAAATGGCATGAAAAGGATGTATATTATTCTGACTTGCGATACTTTTGTTAGCATGCATCAGGAATTAATGGTACAATATTTTCCCAATGTTTTTCATTTGCTTTTTGTAGTTGATCTGTGCTGTATATATATTGGTCCTACAATACTGATAGTTTCCCTTATCCATTGGTACATAAGAGGTTTCCAAAAGTAGATTTTTGGCAATTTTTTTATTACAATCAAATGAAAAACAAACACAAAAAAAAATTAAAAACAAAAAACAGCAAAATAAACAAACAAATAATTTTGAAAAACAAACAAAAATTTGACAAAAAAACCCAAAGTAAAACATACAAATAATGAACAATTTTCTTTTATAAGCTGATGCAGTAAGTTTGAGGTAAACTATAAAATGCCTGGACTACATCAAGCAAACATAACACAATTTCATTATGTTTCCTTATCTATTGAATAGGTTAAAGATAGCAGTGTGGTGAGTCACAGTTGGTGATGAAACAGAAAGCACTTGTCCAGTAGAAAATTTGGTAAAACATTTGGTAAGTGGTGTGGAAAATTGATTGATCTGTGATATTATGATCTGAGAACCAGAACAATCACACATGTCCTCGGTAAGTATGATCTCGTACCTGGTTGATAAATCTAGGTATTGACCTCTGCAGCCAAAGACAATAATCGCTTGTTAGGCGATTGTGTTTTATCCATTTTCTTGTGCCAACTGCCATGTACCATGCATAAACTTTCCATTCCAATGACTTCCTAATAAGCAAAAGGCCCAGGGTTCTTATATTTCCCCTGTAGCATGATGGGATGAAATGCTACCAAGTTTGTTAAAATTATTGACTTTAACGGACTTTCAAGGTCACAGGGGTCAAATATGTTGAAATCTTGTAAACAACTTCTTCCCAGTAACCAGTAAATCAGGGTGCTGATGTTGGACCTGTAGCATGCAATGAAAACGGGCTACCTTGTTAAAATAAATGGCCTTGACCCACTTTCAAGGTCATATGGGTCAAATATGTTGAAATCTTTAAACAACTTTATCATATACCAAAAGGCTCAGGTTGCTGATATTGGATCTGTGGCATGCTTGGCTGAAGGGTTTACCATTTGAGTTCATATGATTGACCTTGTTTTAAAGGTCACAGGGGTCAAATATGGTAAAATTGTTTTACAACTTCTTCTCAATAACCGAAAGGTCCAGGCTCTTGATATTGGATCTTTATCATAGTTTGATGATGAACTACCAAATTTATTCAAATGATTGACCACAATCTGCTTTCAAGATCTCTGGGGTCAAAGGGGTCGAGATCTTAATAATTTCTTCTTTCAACAAGCAATAGGTCCGGGGTCATGGTATCTGTGTAGTGGCATGTATATGGAACAGGATTTAAAGTTTTCAGAAAATATTTTCATGAACCTACAATGTCCTCTTTGTAAGCTTTAGAGTAGTTGAGCAATTCAGGCCTATTTGGCCTTTTTTTTATAGGTCTTTATACTCAGACGACTGTTAAGGCCTAGGGCCTCTTGTTATGTAATCTTCATATTACAAAGTCTTTGTATTTTCAAGGATGGTTAGATATTGTTTTTGCTATTTTCAGAAATTTTGGTGACCTAATTTTGAAAAATTCATATCCAGCATGTTCTGCTGAAGGCATATATAAAAGGTGAGTTTTGCATGTAATTAATTTTGGGAATGTGTCCAAGCCGTATCACCTACACTACTTGTCACTGGAATGTCATATTTACTGAGATGTGTCTTTTATCAAAAACAGGTCACTCTGTCTACATTTGACATTTGATCTAAATTAAAGAAAAAAGTTGTCCTACATTTCTAATCACTGGGACTTTATACTTCAGGTATGGGTTCACATTGGTGAGGCTGTGTGTTTGTAGAAGACCAAATTATCTTGCTATGACTGCTGTATGAGATGCCATGATTTCACCCAATCTTGCATATATAATGTTTGTGTACCTTTCATTAGCCCACCATCTGATGATGGTGGGTTATTTAAAATGCCCTATGTCTGTGATCTGTGTATTTCTTTAGAGATCAAATTTAATATGTAGGTTTTCCTTAGTCACAAGTTGTGCCTTTTTGTCTTTTTCTTTTGTGATTGATCAGTAGAAATAAAATGGCTGTTAACAGCTGGTGGCCATTTTGGATTTTGACAATGAAAGTTTGTTATTACTATTTCTTGATGAAGTAATGAATGAAACTTTGTTGAATCTCATCTGTAGTTCCACTTGGTCCCTTGTTTTGCTATTTTGATTTAGGGACTGATTAAAAAACACAGTAGGTGCTAAGTAGCCATCTTGGAATTTTTGCTAAGAAAAATAATTTCTCTTTCTTGAGAATTACTGGATGGATCTTTCTCAAATTCCATATGTAGGTTTCTGTTTGGCCCCTAGTTTTGCCTTTTTATTTTGGAACTGGTCAGAGAAACAACATGGTTGACAGATATCTTGGATTTCCCAGTAAAATATTACAATTTCTTTGTCTTAAAAGGATTATTCAGATTTCATAAAAGAGCAAAAATAGAGGAAACAAGAGAAAAGAAGGGAAAAATTTTAAAGAACAAATTAAAATCAAACAGTGGTGTACACCAATACACCTGTAGGGTCTTTCATTATTTTATGAGCGTGTAATTTTTTGTTACTTAAACCTCTACAAATATATATAACAAATTTATATAAAAAATTTTTTGTTTCGTTTCAGATTCCTCTGATCTTCACCATGGCAACACCCATAGGTCAAACCGCTTTCCGTCCTAAAGGTCAGAAAACATGTATTCAACATAAAGAGAAACCGCTGGAACTTTATTGTGAGAAATGTGATCAACTTATCTGCCTTACATGTTTGTCAACAACTCACAAAGGTCATGATGTTTGTGAACTCAGTTTAATTACTCCTCAAAAGAAACAAAATATTAAAAGTTTTATTGACAAAACAGAACAAAATGACCTGAAACAAGTCAGGGAATATATATCTTCTGTGGATACACTCCTTAAAAACAACACCAGCAATTTTGAGGAATTTTCACTCAAGTTAAAATCTCAAACAGATAAAATTAAACAAGACCTTGATTTACTTACAACACAGACACTCTCAGTTTACAAACAGATGGAAGAGGACAATGCCAGGCTGATTCTAAAGTACAAAAAAGACCTGGATACGTACAACAAGCAACTAAAACAACAACTACAGGAATGTAAGGTGGCCCTCCAGCAAGGTTCTCACCTGGAAATCTACGACACAGAGTGTGAAATACATCCGTCAATACATCTCCCAGTGAATCCTGTCCTGGGTACGGCCAGCTTCACACCTAACACAACTCCACAACATCATCTACAACTGGCCTTAGGGACAGTTACCACCTCAGGTCAAACATCAGCTGACCAGGAGCGGTCAGTCTTAGCATCAGGTGACCAGGAACAATCCTCTAAACAACAACAAACAGGAGTAAAAGGGAAGAAAGCATTGATAAGTAAACAACTACTGTCAGAGACCAAAGTGGTGAAGGAGTGGGAGTCTCCATGTTACATTGAGTCTATATGTCCCACCACTGATGGTCAGGTGTGGATCAGTAATTACAGTAAAACATTAACTCTCCTTAACAGGGAAGGTAAAGTAGTACAGGAGGTCACACACACGACTGACATCACTGACATCAGTCTATCACCCACAACACACACACTGTGGGTCTGTGACAGACAAAACAACATCATGGAGCTGGTATCAGGACGACTTACAAACAAATTCAGAACCAAGGAGGAACCCAGGTGTATATGTGTTACAGCCAGTAACCATATCATTGTGGGGATGGACAAACACATCTGTAAATTTACTACACAAGGTCAAATGGTACTCACTACAATGGCTGTAGGGACTGGGAAACCATTAGTGTATACACCATGGAGGATGTCAGAGTGTCCAGTAACTCACAATGTCACAGTGATTGATTTCAACGATGAAAGTGACGGTGGTGATGGAAAGGAATGTGTTGTTGTCATGGATACTGACTTCCAGGAAGTGTTTGTATATAGAGGTGACATCCCCAGTACATATAAACAAACACCACAAACAGGACGTGTAACATTTAACCCCTGGGATGTGGTGTATGACAGTGTGGGGAACCTCATCATAGGGGACTGGGACAACTGTAGTGTCCTACTCCTCAGTGGAGGTGGTGAGTTCCTCAGGATCATATACACAGACAGAGTGAGGACAAGGGCTGTAGGTATAGACAGGGACGATGTTCTGTGGGTAGTGTTTGGGGATAACAATGTAAAACTACTACAGTACAGTGTGTGACAGTACTACTACAGTACAGTGTGTGACAGTACTACTACAGTACAGTGTGTGACAGTACTACTACAGTACAGTGTGTGACAGTACTACTACACTACAGTGTGTGACAGTACTACTACAGTACAGTGTGTGACAGTACTACTACAGTACAGTGTGTGACAGTACTACTACAGTACAGTGTGTGACAGTACTACTACAGTACAGTGTGTGACAGTACTACTACAGTACAGTGTGTGACAGTACTACTACAGTACAGTGTGTGACAGTACTACTACAGTACAGTGTGTGACAGTACTACTACAGTACAGTGTGTGACAGTACTACTACAGTACAGTGTGTGACAGTACTACTACAGTACAGTGTGTGACAGTACTACTACAGTACAGTGTGTGACAGTACTACTACAGTACAGTGTGTGACAGTACTACTACAGTACAGTGTGTGACAGTACTACTACAGTACAGTGTGTGACATTACTACTACAGTACAGTGTGTGACAGTACTACTACAGTACAGTGTGTGACAGTACTACTACAGTACAGTGTGTGACAGTACTACTACAGTACAGTGTGTGACAGTACTACTACAGTACAGTGTGTAACAGATATGTGTTACTCTGGTTAGTAACCATGGTAACTAACATTGTAATTAACATTTACATATCACAAAAACAATACCATTTAAATGAATGATGTTAATTAGCAAAATTCAAAATATTTAAATGTCAAAATTCACTGTTTTGAACAAAAACTTTTTAGCAATTCACTAATAAGTTATCCTGTTAATGATCCTGATTAGACAGAACTTAGAACATCACAATGTCTATCTTCAGGTCCTCAGTAGAATACCACTCAGCTGAAACCCCCTTCACTTTGTAAACAATATATGTGTGTGTAAAAATCAATATGACATTTACTTTAATGTGTAAAAACATTGCTGATTCCTCCTGGGGAAAAAAAGTTGTAAAAAAACATTTCTGTTAAATATTTTTAGTTAATACCTTTGGATAATCTCCGTTTTAAAAGTAACTGTTTATATTAAATTATGCCGTAACCCTATCTCTGTGTATTGTATGTTTGCCATTTAATCAGCAATAAAATACATAAAATTACATTGATATTGTATTTTTTCTGTTTTTATATATTTTCTGTTGTACATGTGTCAGAAAACTCCGGAATGTGATTTAACATGATATCAGAATACTCCGGGCTCCTATTTAACAAAGTGTCGGAATACTTAGGTGTCAGACTATATAGGATGCTTGAATACTCACGGTTGAGATTTAGTATGATGTCAGAAAACTCGGAGAGTAGATTTAAAAGGATATTAGAACATTCAGGACTCAGATTTAACGGGATATCAGAATACTCGGGACAGTGATTTAACAGAGACTGACGCACATTTGACCGTGGAAAGGCTGAGCTCATCTGTTGTACATGCCCCATATTTTCAATTTGTGTCACAGATACGCATTCCATGGATGTTTTTTTAGATAAAGAATGTCAGAATACTCCGAGAGTAGATTTAAAAGGATGTTGGAACACTCAGGACTCAGATTTAACGGGATATCAGAATACTCGGGACAATGATTTAACAGGATATCAGAATACTCTGGACAATGATTTAACAGGAACTGACGCACATTTGACCGTGGAAAGGCTGAACTAATCTGTTGGTCTGGTGTACATGCCCCATATTTTCAATATGTGTCACAGATACGCATTCCATGGATGTTTTTTTAAAATAATAAATGCACAAAATTAGACAAGATCTCGCCACTGATTGTTAATGGTGTTTATTACGATCACGTTGTGTCAAATGTATTTTGGGATCCTATATGAAACATTGAAGATTTATACAGTTTAAGACATGAGTTAGATGTAAGATACCAGGTTGTTTGAGAAAAATTAAGCATTGCTTTCTTATAACACGTATCAAGAATTTTCCCCTGTAAAATTGTTATATTGTAAAAAGAAAACGAAACAAAAAACGTACGAACTTTTAACCCAGCTACAAACTTTGAATGTACAGTTTCATCAGCACCGAAATGTGTCATTAGGACTAAATCCATAAAGTATTTGAAATGTAGTTGAAATACAATTATTTGTAACCTATAGGCGCACATGTTCAGAATAATGACGACATAGAGAGTTTTCTGACGTGATGTGCAAATTTTGTAGCTTGAAAGCAAACATTTTGTGTGAAAAAAAACTCATTTCGCGCGCGCACCCACACCCACACTCTGTTTGTCTGTCTGCCTGTCTATCTGTCTGGTTTCACCACGGACTTAACCTTATCACTTAAGGATACTAATTTTCGATTTACGTGCAGGGCGGTGATTGGCTGCTTTTGTTTCGTCTGGTCGTAGCTCATTTAAAATCATTAATTACTGTGCCCCGATGAGTTTTAGGGAACAACCAACCAAATGAAAATGAGACCTTTGAAATGTTTATGTTTATGAAATGTTTGGCAGCCACTGATTGGCGATTGAACTATGCACTTCCAAAACAGTGACATGTATATCGTGTTGGTAATTCGCTCATTCTCAGCAATATGCCCCAATCGATGTCGCTGGAACTTGTACAAAATACCAATATAGTTCGGAGTATTTTACTTTCATAAAATCAAAGAAGTCATGAATCTGAGCATTTACTGATGAAAATTTATGTTTTCAAGACAGAAATTTCCAAAAGAAATGTTGGCAACTGTACTGAAAAGTAACATTCGTTACTGTCGCCAGACTCTGTATCGATATGAATTTGAACATAAGTTTCTTTTTAAGGCGCATATCATCACATATCAACTTTTATTTTTCAAAATTGAGACCTAAATTGATTACAAGAAGGTGTTTTGTTTGAATTATTCATTTATGAAAACTTTTATGTTTGATGATCAAGCGTCGCCAACCTACGTAATAGGTTATGTGTGAATAAGGTGTGGATGTTGTGTGTGTAAGGTGTATATGGTTTTTAGACCTTCCAGCAGACGATGTTGTTTTAGTTATTTATTAAAGATACCCTATTAACTGATGAGACAGCCGAAAGGATAATTAAAATTTTGAAATTGTAAAAATAACAATAAGATCACCAGTCTTGATTGGAAAACACAGTTCACAGTGTAGAGATGTCATCTAGACTCATAATCACACCAGTGCCAGGCTAGGTCATTAGCGCCTCTGTGGTTTGAAAAAACAATGGTGACACATGTGAGGCGACACACCTGTCGGCTAACAACAGACGCGTACCAGTACTTGGGTAAAAACCAGTCAAATCATTGTATAAACAACTAAATCATCAAATTTTTATTATCAACACAGCGGAGGGTGTTATGATTGGTTGTCGACACCCTATCTATATATATACATAGTGCTACGGAAAGTCCCCTCGGACGAAAATTATTCGGTACGGAAATTCCCGACACCGTGCAGCGTGCGGTTGTATTAGCACTAAGTTGACTAACACGGATTGGGTGTCGATACATGCCTTCCCATTAAATAGGCCAGATTTATGCAAACAACGGATTCAGTTTGTCAGGAAGAAGAGAGACATGTGGAAAGGTCCAACGAAATATTCATATTTATGTTCAAAACACTTCGACGGAACTTCATTTCCAATTCGGTATAGTGTAAGGAAAGCAATGGATCGGACTCCGCCGAAAAGAGTTCGACTAAATGACGATGTTGTTTTCTTCCTCACTGGATACATCGTCTTGTAATTCCGGTTCAAAATGGTAGGGCTGGATTCCGTCTTCAGAAATATCATCCACACCATAATCAGACTCCTCAAATCGCTATCAGCGCGGTGTCGTTGTAACTGTCAGTCATGCTGGCTGCCATTTCTGTTGAACTTATGACGTCACGAGTGAAAATCGACAACTTTGAGCTTTAATAACCTGGGGACTGTGCCAAAAGGGGTCAAATTTCAAAAATCTTCTTCTCAACACCCAGATATGGTAGAATCAAATACTCTTCATTGATGGAAGCATCTTAAGGTGCTTTACCAAAATTGTGAATTTCATGACCCCGGAAACTCAAATTTCCTTATGGGGAGGAGTAAAGTTTACTATAATTTATATAGGCAAACTAGTTTTGGCAAATTATCAAGTTTTGGTCTTAAAAAACTTAAACACAATATTCTATTTACATGTATGTAATGCATTAACGACCAAGACATTTTATAGACAACAGTCCAAACACAATGCAAATGCCACATGCTGTGTGTTTGACTCTAACGAAGCAGCATCCCATTGAACAAATCGTTTTGTGAGGTTATAGCATATACAGATAATGATTTCATTTAAAACACTTAGGATTTAAATCAAGTATTTTCTATAAAAACATCCATGTTGATTTATTTTCCACAACCAAATGTTATCAGTGGTCCTGTTAATTAACAAATGGAATATTTTCATTTTCAATGGCTACACTGATATCTAGATGTGTATTGATAAAGACAAAAACATGCATCTGATCCACTAAAACAATATACATCGACAGCTGTGATGGCTGTAACACCATGTGATAAGTAAGTAAGAAGTGCAGAACATAGTGTACCTATATATATTGACATGATGTGTCTCTACTGTCGACGATTTGTTACAGGTGTCGGGGTATGGCTTCAATAAGTAGTATATAATCAGTGTATATATTTGTTACATCGATCTAAATATAGCTCTCGCTGTGGAGTCTAATTTGTTATGACCATTCAGCCCCCAGTAACACACATAAGTTACATTAGAACAATGTCAGTATGTCCAAAAAGATCAAAATACGACCTCCAAATTTTATGAATTTATAAACTATTTATTTTACGAAACAAGTATTTTCAACTTACACTAATCACTCTTGTTGGCCCGGATGTAAGCGCGCGAGGGGTCTTGGCCCGGATGTAAGCGCGCGAGGGGTCTTGGCACGGATGTAAGCGCGCGAGGGGTCTTGGCCCGGATGTAAGCGCGCGAGGGGTCTTGGCACGGATGTAAGCGCGCGAGGGGTCTTGGCACGGATGTAAGCGCGCGAGAGGTCTTATTGTGGGAGGAACCGGGAATCCTACGTGGCCGGGCAGGTGACCCCTTCTCTTTTCACGTCCGTTCCGGGACTCGAACCCCGGACATTCAGGTGAAAGGCAAGTGTGTTACCACTGGGCCATCCGACCACCCAAATTTTACCGCTTCCTAGAGAGAGCAAGGTAGACAACCATAGAACCAACAGGAAAACTAAAGAGCATCAAACACGCGCAGCTTCATGTCGACAAAGAAATAGAATAGTCATTTTCAAAAAATGCAGAATTCACGCAATCCGCTATTTACGTAATTATGTATCTTTCGCCGAGCTGAATCCGATAACAAAATACAAACTTACAAATTGTCTAGCCCTGCCAGACCCTGGAGGGCTTGATCACGCCATTCAGTTCACAGAGTTTCAGTTTAAATAAGCTTTTTGCAATCTATTGGTTTTTGCTGGCATTGCTGCTACGATATATAAAAAAGCAAGAAGGTTTCTTTAATATTTCATTTCAAACTCCAGCGGTAAAAATCTACCCTGGTGATTTGTTTTAATAGAGACATATAGAGAATATGAGAATATAGACAGCCGCTCCCCTACTAAGTACTTAATGAAAGTATTGTAAATCTGCACATGCAGTCGAGCTTCGTTATTTCGAAGTCAACGGGACCACTGCAAAACTTCGAGTTGTCCAAGTAATCGACTCAAGTGAGGCCGAATGCTTAATGAAAAGTCTGGCAGGGACAGGCGAAATACTTCGCATTAGACGGGATCCTCGAGTTGTACGAGTTCTGGCGGATAAAGGGGTCGACTTATATTTAAGGAAAACCCAACACGTTATTTAAAGGCGTTCTGTCGTCTGACAACTGCGAGAAACGCCGCAATTCTGTTTAATTTTGCACGCACTGTTGCACACTGACTCAACTTCTTATTTTATTGGGCGTGTAGATTACACCTACATGGTTATATCGTGACCAACTACTTCTGGTTTGGTGGATCGTAAAACACTATCGAGTTGGGCAGGCCGTGTTGCAGTTTAGAAATCTCTGTGACTGAAGTCTTCTATTATTTGGTATTGTGACCTGTTGGTTTTCTTTACTGAGGTGTATCGAAAGACAATGAGATACCGGGAAAGTACCCGATAGACTACTTCTCTACCAAAACTTCGTCACAGATTCTAAAAACCTCGTCGTTAAGTAAGTGGCTACTCAAGATTTTTCAAGCATTTGTGAATTTTACCCAAGATGTCGTAAAACATATGCTATGTGCTTCACAATAACCAACTTGTAGTACTTAAAACATTACGCTTTGTAATGGCCTCGTCTCTGTGTAAAATCCAGATTCCTTTACGTATGAAAGGACAAGCCACCTGCCTTCACCACAAGGGGAGACAACTGGAACGTTTCTGTAAAGAATGTCAGGAACCTGCTTGTATACAGTGTTCTTATTCTGTACACCAGGAACATGAAATGTGTGGACTTTGTGAAATTATTCCCCAAAAGAAGCAAGACCTCAGAAATTTTATAGACAGAACTGAGACGGTTGACCTGGTACAAGTTGACCAGTACATCAATTCTACAGATACACAGCTAAAGGAAAGCACAAGTGACTTTGAAAAACTTGCCAACCAGCTAACGGCACAGAGAAGCAAATTAATAGAAGAACTAGACTTTTTGTCAGCTCAGACTTTGTCTCTCTACAAACAAAAGGAGGAGGATAATGCCAAGTTACTACAAACTTACAAACAGGACTTGGAAATGTACAGCTCGCAGTTAAAACAGAGAGTGCAAGTGTGTAAAACTGCATTACAGAGTGTCTCTGATATAGAAATTTACGACGCGGGGAGTGAGATTCATTCTTCCGTCACACTCCCTGACAGACCAAATCTGGGGACCGCTCGCTTCATACCAAATCAAAGTCCTGAGATTTGCCTGAAACAAGCATTAGGAAAATTTGACACCTCTGGACAAAGTCATGGTCAAACTTCATGCCGTAATGACTGGTTGTCTGCTGAACCAACTTGTCAGGAGAGTCAATCAGAAGGAATGCTGTTCTCGCCACCAAACGCACCTCCGGTAGAAATCTCCTCAGGTCAAGGTCACAAACATGACACGCGCCGTCATAGCCGATCATCATCATCATCATCTAAACAACAGCTGGCGGATGATGGACAGGAAGCGTCCAGTTCGGTACAAACTTATGTGGTAGAGGAGTGGAAGTCTCCGCACTTTATTACATCTGTAAGTCCAACTACTGACGGCAACGTGTGGACTGATGATTGCAAAACGGTCAGCGACACATTGATTCTATTGAACAAGCACGGCAAAGAAATCCAGAGAGTTCAACACAGTGCCGAGATAAAGAGCATCAGTCTGTCACCTACCACCGACACACTCTGGGCTTGTGACGAAGAAAACATCATCACAGAACTCGTGTCAGGAAAACTGGTACAACGGTTCCGTACAGACGAGGAGCCACAGTGTATCTGTATTACAGCCAGCGATCATGTCCTTGTGGGGTTGGAACAGTGCATCTCGAAATTTACCCCCTTTGGTGAAATGGTACATACTACAATGATTGCAGGGACTGAAAGTCCGTTAGTGTGGAAACCTGAGAAGATGGTAGAGTGTCCGGTGACTCGAAACGTTGCCGTGGCTGATTACAATATTGATGGTGATCAAAACCGATACGTTGTTGTCATGGATACGGAATTCAAGCAGCTGTTTGTGTATGGCGGTGAAGTGCCGTACGTAAACCAGCAGTCATGGGGGAACGCATTTTACCCCAGTGGTGTGGTGTATGACAGGGTGGGGAACCTCATCATAGGGGACTGTGAGAATTGTAGGGTCCTACTCCTCAGTGGAGGTGGTGAGTTCCTCAGGATCATACACACAGACAGAGACTGGGTAGCTGCTATTGGTATAAACAGGATGGAAGTCCTTTGGGTAGTGCATCGTGGCCATGATATCAAGCTACTACAGTACAACAGCATACAACATGTTTAACTGCCATGACAACGAATGCTTGGGTCTTCATCGCCTTTATCGGACATGACCTATTTTATTTTGACCCTCTATAATCCTAAATACTGATACATAACTAATCAGATCACACGTCCTTCATAATAAGCTTTTTAAATGTTGATCTATACCTTGAAATTTATACTGGTTCAGACAGAACTTTGTCCTTCCCTTGACATTTATACTGGTTCAGACAGAACTTTGTCCTTCCCTTGACATTTATACTGGTTCAGACAGAACTTTGTCCTTCCCTTGACATTTATACTGGTTCAGACAGAACTTTGTTGTCCTTACTTGATATTTATACTGGTTCAGACAGAACTTTGTTGTCCCTCTCTTATATATATATATATATATATATATATATAGTTTAATGAGTCCACGTATAAAATCCACGTGAATTAAAAACACCCATGGAATCCGTGGTTAAGAAAATGAAATATATTTATAGCTCTCCACTTTGTTTATTTTCAAATATTATCAATTATACTAGAAATAAAAGCAATGTACTATATTGGGTTTTGTTGTTTTCTGTTTCCAAAGACTAAAGAAAATCGCGATAAATTGCGTATTTAGCAAAAATAAAGGATGGTCTCCCCTTTACGTTATAACCCGTCAAAATTTGAACCATCAAATAAAAAATGTTCTATAAAAACTTTGTCAAAGCTTGTTACTTTATCATTCTTAAATACTATGAAATCAGTTAGAGTTAAGTCTAACTTTGACATTTTACTCAAAAAGTGGAATTCATGATATGTACATTTAAAGAATCTTCAACACCCTCTTTTGAAAAAAAAAAAAAAAATCAGTGAGAACATATGATTTTCCACACTACCACACTCCATCCTAAACTGAAGGAACGCCTTCGTGATATGAGCTAGGGCAACATGAGCAATGAGAAATTTACATGGACGCTCCTGAAAAAGTACAAGGAGAATAAGACCAGAAAGAGTAAGCGTATTCTGCTTCATTGACGACACCCGCCATGTAAATCTGGGTCATTCCAAGTAAGTAATGTCACGTTCTCGAATGAGAATATGATATACTACAATGGAACCAACGAGCAATAGAAACGCCAATCAAATCGCACAAAAAATATCTCAATGAGACCACTTTGACAACTGTACACTTTCCTCGTAACTTTCGGTAATCTGCATCTCTCGAACTTGACCTCTGTGTTACGAGTTCGTCCGTCAAATAATGAGTTCTTGCACGAAAATCGTGATAATGGGAACAGGTCCTTGGATGTTGAACTGATAGATTGAGGATGCAGAGATGTTGCTATCCAAAAATTGAAAATTCACAGTCTACGTCCATCCTATTCAGTGATCAGAATGGGGAATCAATGACACTCCATACTTTTCTACGACAGCCGCCTACCTTAATTGTTTCACTCAAAGAAACCAAATGGACAGCATTGCATCAAGCTGTATGATAAGCACGTTGATTACTATTTCTCTATTGTGAATTTTACATTTCTAGATAGCAACATGCCTGCATCCCCTACCTATGGTACAGAGTGTAACATTTCGCAGTTGATTCGATAATCAAAGGCAGCATGTTCCCAATATCATGATTTGCGTGGCATATGTCGGCAACTGAAAGATATGCACTCGGATGAAGTTTAACGGTCGTTATAATGATAATGATGATGAACACCTACGCTTAGTTTCCTTGTACTTGTTCACGAGTCTCCATGCAAACCTTTTTTTGGGGGAATTAATATTTTGCCTTAGTTTTATGTTGAGTTAGATTGTTAAAATTCTCTGTTGTGTTCGCAATGTGTTTTCAAGTTACATTGTTGCATCCGTATCTTGAGTTGAACAATTCTGAAAGATTTGGGTCTATATGAAACTTTAGTGGGTCATTTTTTATTGTATAGGTTAGGTATACGTGACTCTGTACTTCTGTACAGTAATTGCAAAGTAATGAGAAATACTGTACCCTGTCCCGGCCGAGGTTCGAAACGGCGACCCTTCTGTCTAGACTTGCAATTGATAAAAGGTAAATTCCCAGATGCCGAGGCTAGTAAACGCGACCTGAATAATTGTACGTCTACATGCAACTTTTTTGTTTGTTTTTTCATTGGACTGCATTGACCTTCTGTCTGCTCGAGAAAATGGTAATCGTAATGTTACAAGTCTAAAGACTTGTTTTATTATCTTGGCACCAATCCAATCGGGAACCCTCGGCAGAATTTTCTCGCTTGCGGAAAGTGCCAAGGGTTCCCGATTGAGCACCAATCAGCTGCCGTACAAAAGCAATGTAAACGTCCGCTTGACGCTGATCACCGGAAAGCACCCAGAGTTATTTTTAGTCCCCGACGGTAGCAACGTGGCTTGAATCGCTGTCGTGTAAGGAAAACTACAGCTACAAACGGACGTGGTAAGCAACCTTGCGCGTCTAGATATATATCAGGTTAAATGTAAACTGTCTCTAATACGGCATGTGTGAAGTTATTTATAACAAACCCCTGTGAGTAGGCAGGCATATAGTACCGGTCACATTATCAGTGAATTATTATTACATATGAAATAAAACATAAAATTCATCCCTTTCTACATCTATGATAATTCCAACCCAATGAAATCTATCCTGAATGATTGACAAAGTCAGATCCCGTCCCTGATGACCAGTGTCATCATGTACCATGGTAGGCGTGATGGGGACACGGGATCTAGGAACAACTTGCTTTATGTAAACATCACCATCTTTGGTAACTTCTCTGTACAGGATTTCATCTCTAATCCTTAGTTTTTGAAAATATGGAATGTTCACAGGAACTGGGTAACATGTGACGATGGGGTTTATTCCCAGCATTGACACATGTTATCCATGTGAACTCTGCACGTTTTACATCAAGTTGTTTGTCCCAATCACTGTTGGCAAAAGTATCCAGGTGGTAGCTGACACAGACTGGCTTACAATACACAAATCTGTATCTCGTTACTGATGGCTTTGATGACATCATTAGAGATAAAATTTGTCTCTACCTCAATCTGTTACTGTGTTAAAGAAATTGTTTGTATCTTAAGAATGGACTTTCTTATCTTCAAATTTTCAGCAAAAATGAATTAAAATGAAAATTTATAGTCTTCAAACAATTTCTGTTAGAAACAAGTCCGTTTAGCACATCTAAAAAATAACTACCAGGTTTAGGCATCTGGGATGTGTCAACTGTTAATGTCACGTTCTGCTTATTATCACATTTCCCCCTGACAAATAGAACATGATAATAAACGGGTTTCACTGTATTGAAATTCAGATATTGGATGAACTTCTTAAAAAGTGATAAATAATAATAATGAAATAGTTTATTAAAGTGTCATGTATTGATTGACAGTAAAATACAAATCACAATTATAAAATGTACGAGTAAAAGTGATCAATACCCAACCACAATTATTTGTCTTACGAGACATTAGAAAACATTAAAACATAAAATCAATCATAATTGATTCATACATATTAAATTCATCCTTTCATACACTTAGCGCTGATAATATCATATCAACACAAATTGATATGGAGATCAAAGATGTAAGTTCTACACAGTCTCTTGTGGTGCCCTTTTTCAATTTTGAGACTCATCTGAAAAAAAAAACAATATAGCTGACAGGTGGTCATCTTGAATTTTGTTTGTTTTCACATTTTATCACAAAATTTAAGATAGTTTTTTCTCGAACTTTATATGCAAGTTCTTCTTCGTCTCCTGCAGCGTTCTTTCAATTATAGGATGGAACAAAGAAACAAAATGGCTGTTTCAAGGCCATCCTGGATTTTGCCAATTACAGTTTGTTATTGTTTTAGAAGTACTGGATTAATCTTATTTAGTTATATAAGTTCCCCTTGGTCCTTTCATATGAATGTGAAGTTTTAAGACTGATTAGAAAATCAAAATGGCTCACACTTGGCCATATTGAATTGATTAATCTTCAATCAGTTCCATTGTTGATACAACATATAATTACGAATAAAAAATGGAAAGTTCCACCTCTCAGAGACAATAGTGGATGCCAAGAGATATAGGGGGATCTTTTGTAAAATGTTCAGAATACCATCAACAATTAAATAACAAAGAAAATTTCAAACAGCTTTCTCCAACACCACCATAACAACCTAACCATCAGTTACCTCCTGTAAACTCTCTCTTCCACTCTGTCTACAACCCCACCCTCCATTACTTTCTCTAGACTCTCTGTCTACAACCCCACCCTCCATTACCCCCTCTAGACTCTCTGTCTACAACCCCACCCTCCATTACTTTCTCTAGGCTCTCTGTCTACAACCCCACCCTCCATTACTTTCTCTAGGCTCTCTGTCTACAACCCCACCCTCCATTACTTTCTCTAGACTCTCCGTCTATGACGCCACACTCCATTACTTTCTCTAGACTCCCTGTCTCCAACCCCACCCTCCATTACTTTCTCTAGGCTCTCTGTCTACAACCCCACCCTCCATTACTTTCTCTAGACTCTCTGTCTACAACCCCACCCTCCATTACTTTCTCTAGGCTCTCTGTCTACAACCCCACCCTCCATTACCCCCTCTAGGCTCTCTGTCTACAACCCCACCCTCCATTACTTTCTCTAGGCTCTCTGTCTACAACCCCATCCTCCATTACTTTCTCTAGACTCTCCGTCTATGATGCCACCCTCCATTACTTTCTCTAGACTCTCTGTCTACAACCCCACCCTCAATAACCTCTTCTAGACTCTCTGTCTATGACCCCAAACTCAAATACCTTCTCTAGACTCTCTGTCTCCAACCCCACCCTCCATTACCCCCTCTAGACTCTCTGTCTACAACCCCAAACTCAAAAACCTCCTCTAGACTCTCTGTCTACAACCCCACCCTCCATTACCCCCTCTAGACTCTCTGTCTACAACCCCACCCTCCATTACCCCCTCTAGACAATCTGTCTACAACCCCACCCTCCATTACCCCCTCTAGACTCTCTGTCTACAACTCCACCCTCCATTACTCCCTTTAGACTCTCTGTCTACAACCCCACCCTCCATTACCCCCTCTAGGCTCTCTGTCTACAACCCCACCCTCCATTACCTCTTGTAGACACTCTGTCTACAACCCCACCCTCCATTACCTCTTGTAGACACTCTGTCTACAACCCCACCCTCCATTACTTTCTCTAGACTCTCTGTCTACAACCCCACCCTCCATTACCCCCTCTAGACTCTCTGTCTACAACCCCACCCTCCATTACTTTCTCTAGACTCTCTGTCTACAACCCATCCTCCATTACCCCCTCTAGACTCTCTGTCTACAACCCCACCCTCCATTACCCCCTCTAGACTCTCTGTCTACAACCCCACCCTCCATTACTTCCTCTAGACTCTCTGTCTAAAACACCATCCTCCATTACTTCCTCTAGACTCTCTGTCTACAACCCCACCCTCCATTACCCCCTCTAGGCTCTCTGTTTACAACCCCAGTCCATTACCCCCTCTCTGTCTACAACCCCACCCTCCATTACCCCCTCTAGACTCTCTGTCTACAACCCCACCCTCCATTACCCCTCTAGACTCTGTCTACAACACCACCCTCCATTACCCCCTCTAGACTCTCTGTTTACAACCCCACCCTCCATTACTTTCTCTAGGCTCTCTGTCTACAACCCCACCCTCTGTCTACAACCCCACCCTCCATTACTTTCTCTAGGCTCTCTGTCTACAACCCCACCCTCCATTACCCCCTCTAGGCTCTCTGTCTACAACCCCACCCTCCATTACTTTCTCTAGGCTCTCTGTCTACAACCCCACCCTCCATTACTTTCTCTAGACTCTCTGTCTACAACCCCACCCTCCATTACTTTCTCTAGGCTCTCTGTCTACAACCCCACCCTCCATTACCCCCTCTAGGCTCTCTGTCTACAACCCCACCCTCCATTACTTTCTCTAGGCTCTCTGTCTACAACCCCATCCTCCATTACTTTCTCTAGACTCTCCGTCTATGATGCCACCCTCCATTACTTTCTCTAGACTCTCTGTCTACAACCCCACCCTCAATAACCTCTTCTAGACTCTCTGTCTATGACCCCAAACTCAAATACCTTCTCTAGACTCTCTGTCTACAACCCCACCCTCAAATACCTCTTCTAGACTCTCTGTCTACAACCCCAAACTCAAAAACCTCCTCTAGACTCTCTGTCTACAACCCCACCCTCCATTACCCCCTCTAGACTCTCTGTCTACAACCCCACCCTCCATTACCCCCTCTAGACTCTCTGTCTACAACCCCACCCTCCATTACCCCCTCTAGACTCTCTGTCTACAACCCCACCCTCCATTACCCCCTTTAGACTCTCTGTCTACAACCCCACCCTCCATTACCCCCTCTAGGCTCTCTGTCTACAACCCCACCCTCCATTACCTCTTGTAGACACTCTGTCTACAACCCCACCCTCCATTACTTTCTCTAGACTCTCTGTCTACAACCCCACCCTCCATTACCCCCTCTAGACTCTCTGTCTACAACCCCACCCTCCATTACTTTCTCTAGACTCTCTGTCTACAACCCATCCTCCATTACCTCTTGTAGACACTCTGTCTACAACCCCACCCTCCATTACCCCCTCTAGACACTCTGTCTACAACCCCACCCTCCATTACTTCCTCTAGACTCTCTGTTTAAAACACCATCCTCCATTACTTTCTCTAGATTCTCTGTCTACAACACCACCCTCCATTACCCCCTCTAGACTCTCTGTTTACAACCCCACCGTCCATTACCCCCTGTAGACTCTCTGTCTACAACCCCACCCTCCATTACCCCCTCTAGACTCTCTGTCTACAATCCCACCCTCCATTACCCCTCTAGACTCTGTCTACAACACCACCCTCCATTACCCCCTCTAGACTCTCTGTTTACAACCCCACCCTCCATTACCCCCTCTATACTCTCTGTCTACAACCCCACCCTCCATTACTTCCTCTAGGCTCTCTGTCTACAACCCCAACCTCCATTACCTCTTGTAGACACTCTGTCTACAACCCCACCCTCCATTACCCCCTCTAGACACTCTGTCTACAACCACATCCTCCATTACTTTTTTAGACTCTCTGTCTACAACCCCACCCTCCATTACCCCTCTAGACTTTCTGTCTAAAACACCATCCTCCATTACTTTCTCTAGATTCTCTGTCTACAACACCACCCTCCATTACCCCCTCTAGACTCTCTGTTTACAACCCCACAACCCCACCGTCTACTCTCTCCATTACCCCCTCTAGACTCTCTGTCTACAACCCCACCCTCCATTACCCCCTCTAGACTCTCTGTCTACAACCCCACCCTCCATTACCCCCTCTAGACTCTCTCTACAACTCCAAGATCTGATTTGTTTACCCCTGGGTTCTATAATAATCCCACCCTCTGACTTTGAATAAGATCTGATGTGTTTGACTTTGAATAAGATTTGATGTGTTTACCAGTGAGTTCTATGATAAGCCCACCCCCTGACTTTGAATAAGATCTGATGTGTTTAACCCTGATTTCTATAATAAGCCCACCCCCTGACTTTGAATAAGATCTGATGTATTTACCCCTGATTTCTATAATAAGCCCACCCCCTGACTTTGAATAAGATCTGATGTGTTTACCCCTGATTTCTATAATAAGCCCACCCCCTGACTTTGAATATGTGTATAGAACAGTAGGATTCATTAGTGATGTTATATAAGCCATGTGTGCTTGTCATTGACAAGATTGTTGCTGATTTTGTTTTATCTGATACAGATCTTAACTTACAGACTAAACTTATGTCCGGGTCAGACTGGGGCAATCTTGCTGCGTTTGAAAAGTATGGTCGTATGGTTGACAATATGGGAGATTACTCGATGATATCATACAATGAGGCAGTGTCGGAGACATACACAACACACAAACATGCAAGCCACACAATGCTTCTGGCCCGTGATCCTCGAGTTCTGTGGGATCTTTACCAGGCCCGTGCAGCTATCCTGGTAAGTATTCAGTGTTAGTCATGGTAACCGATGTTTCTGCCAGATCTTTACCAGGCCCGTGCAGCTATCCTGGTAAGTATTCAGTGTTAGTCATGGTAACCGATGTTTCTGCCAGATCTTTACCAGGCCCGTGCAGCTATCCTGGTAAGTATTCAGTGTTAGTCATGGTAACCGATGTTTCTGCCAGATCTTTACCAGGCCCGTGCAGCTATCCTGGTAAGTATTCAGTGTTAGTCATGGTAACCGATGTTTCTGCCAGATCTTTACCAGGCCCGTGCAGCTATCCTGGTAAGTATTCAGTGTTAGTCATGGTAACCGATGTTTCTGCCAGATCTTTACCAGGCCCGTGCAGCTATCCTGGTAAGTATTCAGTGTTAGTCATGGTAACCGATGTTTCTGCCAAATCTTTAACAAGTCTGGGCAGTTATCTTGGTGAGTATTCAGTGTCAATCATGATAGCTGGTGAAAAGGGTGGATATTAAACAGGGGCAAAAATTCCCCAGTAAAGTTACATGAGGACTAATTGCAAATGTATTTGTATTGTGGTACAAGTTCCTACGTATCTCCACCATACTAATATTTCCTTGTGTATTCCATGAATATGATAGTGTAGTCAGGAGCTGTCTTGGTTCTCAAAGGCAGAAAACTTATATATCATCAAAGAAAAAGAGTTCAAAACACTCAACAATGATCAGTTTGGATATATAACTGGTACATTGGAATGTTTAACAAAATGTCTCCTCAGTTTTAGATCATCTGATTCGAAGGACCGGTGAGCATATGCCATAACGCAGCATCCCTCATCCAACCATCAGTGTGTCCATCCATCAGTGTGTCCATCCATCCATCAGTGTGTCCATTTATCCATCCATCAGTGTGTCCGTCCATTTATCCATCCATCAGTGTGTCCATCCATCTATCCATCCATCAGTGTGTCCCTCCATTCATTAGTGTGTCCATCCATCCATCAGTGTGTCCATCCATCCATCCATTCATCAGTGTGTCCATCCATCCATCAGTGTGTCCATCCATCCATCCATCCATCATCCATCCATCCATCCATCAGTGTGTCCATCCATCCATCCATCAGTGTGTCCATCCATCCATCATCCATCCATCCATCCATCCATCCATCCATCCATCCATCCATCCATCAGTATGTCCATCCATCTATCCATCCATCAGTGTGTCCATCCATCCATCCATCCATCCATCCGTCCGTCCATCCGTCCGTCTGTGCATCCATCCGTCCACATCCGTCCATCCATCCATCAGTGTGTCCATCCATCCATCCATCCATCCATCAGTGTGTCCATCCATCCATCCATCAGTGTGTCCATCCATCCATTCATCCATCCATCAGTGTGTCCATCCATCCATCCATCCATCCATCCATCAGTGTGTCTGTCCGTTCATTGGCATTGTCTACAAATTGCTTCTTTTTATGAATGACTGAGCAGATTTGCTCAAATTTGGTCTAAAGTGTCCCTGGGGAAAGAAGGACAAATTTGATATAAATTGTGGGTCTCGGCTCCCTGGGGTGGAAGGGATGGGGCTCAAAAAGGGAGATTTGGAAAATAATTTAAGTTCTACTCCTTCTGTAGGAAAAATTGGATTTTGTCCAGATTTGGTTCAATGAACCCTTGGAAAGACAGAAATAAGTTTTTAATGAGTGACAGGACCCATTTGAATGGAAATATAGCAAATTTTTCTTATGTAGGAACGGCAGGATTCAGTCCCTATTTAGTCTGAAGCATGAATGACTTGGCTGACTTCCTCTGGACAGAGGAGTGGTTCCCTATGAAAAAAAAAAAATCATGTGTAGTGTGTGTTTTGTGTTAGGAAATTTAGAATCCATTTTCCTCTAGTTTGGATGCAGTGATTTCAGCCAAACAAAGCCAGATGAACACGGTCCTGTTGTCCTGTGACTTTTTCCTATCGATCACCCTGCATAACTTTGGGTATCAACATGAGAACCGAGATGGTGTTTGTATTTACTCTTCCTTACTTTATTCTTTTCAGATGCAGATGCGATTCGATGGTGTGATAGGTTTTCCTGGAGGTCTGGTGGACCCTGGGGAGAATCCTGTGGAGGCAGCTAATCGGGAAATGGTGGAGGAGATTGGCCTTGACCTGAAAAAACATTCCATTACCAAAGACAACCATATTGTATCATACTTTAATGATAAAAAAAGTCTTGTTCTTCACTTCTTTGGGTTGGAAGTTACGCTCGAAGAGTTTTGTGCCATTGAACTACAAAACCTGCAGGCCCCAGACTATGGATCAGAGGTAAAACAGTCAACCAGACCTACAGTCAGTCTCACCTTCTACTTATTGTGTCGCCTGCAGAGCTGGTGGACACTTAGGGATTACTTTGTCCATCGTCACGCGTCGTCGTGGGTGTCATCCGTACAAAAGTTTTTTCGGACTTTTTTTCGGTTATGCTTTGAGTTATCAAAATGAAATTTAGTATATGGCTTCTTGTTGGAAGGGTACAGATTATGTTCAATTTCTGGCTGTCTGTGACCCTTCTTGGCAGAGTTATGCCCCTTTGAACTCAAATTCCTTGGGAATATTGTTTTCTGGAATTTTCTTGGTTATGCTTCGAGTTATGAAAATGCAATTATGTATACGAGTTCTTGGTCAAAAGTTACACACCTAGTTAGCTTCTTGGCAGTCTGTAACCCTTCTTGGCAGTGATATGTCCCTTTGATCTTGGAAAATTTCTCAGGAATATTGCACAGTTTTCCCTTTATGCTTTGAGTTATAGAAATGAAATTTGGTATTACAACTTTATGGTTGAACGTTGCACATCCAGTTCGATTTCTGGGTGACCGTGACACTTTATGCAGGCGACACATACAGTTCCAAGGAACTTTTGGAGATAAATTAGTCTTTCTTTTCAAAATGTTACTGAAAAAAGCTAAATCCACTCGGTTTTTAGACCACAGTCTTTAGATGAGGGGTTGTTCTAATCACCTTTTGTCCATGGCCCATTTGTCTGACCTCACACAAAGTTTAGTATCACTCTTTCTTGAAAAGTACCCAATAGGTCTCTCTCAGGTTCAGCTGTAGGTTCTCCTTGGTCTCTTGTTGTGTACTCTTGATTTGGGATTTATTAGAACAAGAATATGTCCGACAGGTTAAAGATCATACCAAGGTAGACCCCTAAATATCCTTCTGGGATCTCATCTCTAAGATAAGAGGAAGAGAATTGACTGAAAGAGGATGTACAATAGATTTTTGTTGTAAATTGTAAGTGCATCAAATGAGAAGAAATATATAATTTTCTTGGATTGTGATGATCTGAGTGTTTTATTGATTAATTGACAGTTTCTAATCTTATTGTACAGAAGTATTGGTTGGTAATGAAGGTATTGTATTTGTGTAATTTGTCCTTTTTTCACTACAGACCCTAGGGATTCTTCGTCCACCTCTGTATACAATGGGAGACAATTATCGGGGCCTTCCAGCCTTCCTCTCCAACAGCTTTGCAGGTAATGCTCGGGACGAACTGCTGCTTGGCCTGGAACACTTCAAAACACATACTGCTGAGGAGATACAAGTGGCTGTCGTAGCAGAACGGCAACATGCAGCCACACATCCCAACCATGCAGGATTGACAAATCTTGACAGTTGATAATAGAGATTTAATAGCTCATCTTAGATCTTACTTACAAATTTTGACTAAACAATGTATTTTACAATAATTGTGGAACAAATAAGTTTTTCCAACATCTTTTAATCACTGTTGATAGCCCAGATTGAAGTGCCTAGAGTTTTTGACATAGAAGCTTGAAACTTTGTAGGATGTTTATATATATGTTGAAGATGTGCACCTACTATTATGGAGCTATTCTGGACATTTTTCTGGATTTTCCGGGCTTTTGAACTTAGTCATTTTCTGCAGTTTGGCAGGGAAAATAGGTACCAGTTTTGTAGAATCAACTCCTAGAGTTTTTGACGTAGAAGCTTGTAACTTTGAAGGTGTTTATATATATGTTGAAGATGTGTACCTCCTTTTATGGATTCATTCCGGACGTTTTTTTCTTGATACTCAACAAATGAAACACCCTTAACTGTCTTATAAATACCATATAACATTGCAGTCATCCCGCAACCTAGCCAATTGTGGCTTGGCCCCATTTTTTTTACAGTTATTGTGAAACTGGGCTGGCATCATCATCTATGATGAGTAACTCATCATTTGGCCTTAAGAATAATTTGGGCAAGTTTACCTGTAAATGTATCATAATGATATTTTCAACATTACCATGATAGTGTATTTTAATGAAATATCAAAATATTGAATCCATTAAGTTGATAATATATTATACATTGGTTTTCTGTTACATTTACAAAATATGAGTCTGATATTGAATATGGTACCAGGTCTGAGATTTGGAAGGTTACAGGAAATGAAGTGTTGTATTTGGTAAACAAGCCATTGTAATGAGGTGAAATTCTTCTTCACACTGGATCATACTTCTGTGAAACAGATAAAACATTGACCACAAAATCATCAAAACTTTCTATCAACAGGTGTTCTACGTCAGTTTGTCAGTGGGAACGTGTAATAACAACAATGACCTTCCAGGTGTTTTCCATCAGAATATGATTATGGTGTGATTAATATGTTATCAGTATACAACACTTTATCCACACCACTGATCCTAGATTCTAGTCACGAGAGTAAAAACTGAACATGGGAGAAAGATCCAATGGCGTTTCAGTATGTAGGTCTCTTGGTAGTAAATCGCTGAAAGATGGACACCACGAGGTATGTCGGGAGTTACAAAGATGTTCTCAGCATCAACCAGCTGCACACCTCAAGAAGGTTGTACATTTTATTACTTGCCGACCGGTTTCACCAGTTACGACCTGACGAAACTGATCAGCCAGGAATAACGTATATTTCCTTTTTATGTATGAAGCTGGTTAATGCCGAGAACGCTCCTACCCGACATCTTGCTATAGTCACCAAAATGCTTCTCTTAAAGTACTACATTCTATACACTACCAAAATGCTTCTCTTAAAGTACTACATTCTATACACTTGAAACAAGTCATGACAAAGTTGAAGGTTACATATACAACATCTTGTGGACAAGAAAAAGACTAGTCTGATCCTTTGGTGTACATCAAACAAATCTCGAGGTCGTATAACGGTATATTGTAATGGCGGCTTTGAAGGTGGGTATTGCTCTTTTGTTATCTTCAGAAGCAACATATCAGTCTGTGAATGGGCTGGCTTTTTCTCCTGGAACCAATCAAATTACAGACAGTGAAAGTGATCATAACTGCTGGAGTATCGAGGATGGTACACATATTGATCAGTTTTGAAGGCGGGTCACAAGTGTTTTACTGTAAATTAAGACATAACTCCTACATTTCTAGTTTTCTCTTCCTTGCATTAATTAAGAAGACTTAAACAAGGATAGATAACTGATAAGTACAACATTCCTCTGATTCTAGATGATTATTGTCTTTGTTCCTGTTTATATGTACATGTATAAATAAAATCTATTTTCTTAATAAAATGTATCAAAGCTGAAATCTTATCTGTATTTATCTAAATGCAGGCAGATACATTTCAATTTAAGATGTTGATGAATATAACTAGCAATTTAAGCTCTTATCTAACTAACGGTGCTAAATATTTGAACATTTGTGCCAAAATTTAAAGTTCTCATAGGAAAGAAAATGTGAGTTAACATTTTTGCCTGGAGGCCAAGATTATGACTTAAGCCATTGACTGGTAATTGTAAACTTAACAGACAAGTGTGCGATTGTTAACTTAGCAGAAATCTTAATGGTAGAGGGGAGGTAATCACTGCTACTTTGTAAAAATATAACATTGGAAATATTAAACAATTTAACATTTCGTGATGAGGACTACATAATACTGGCTTTAACTTACCAGACACGACACATGTCTCCTCTAGAATATGTGATGATGGACTTAACAGCTCTGAATGTGCCATTATTTAGCAGACTAATACTGAAGTGTCATGATTTAACAGATTAATAATGAAGTGTCATGATTTAGCAGACTAATATTGAAGTGTCATGATTTAGCAGACTAATATTGAAGTGTCATAATTTAACAGACGTAATATTGAAGTGTCATGATTTAACAGACTTAATATTGAAGTGTCATGATTTAACAGACTTAATATTGAAGTGTCATGATTTAGCAGACGTAATATTGAAGTGTCGTGATTTAACAGACTTAATATTGAAGTGTCATGATTTAACAGACTTAATATTTAAGTGTCATGATTTAGCAGACTTAATATTGAAGTGTCATGATTTAGCAGACTAATATTGAAGTGTCATAATTTAACAGACGTAATATTGAAGTGTCATGATTTAACAGACTTAATATTGAAGTGTCATGATTTAACAGACTTAATATTGAAGTGTCATGATTTAGCAGACGTAATATTGAAGTGTCGTGATTTAACAGACTTAATATTGAAGTGTCATGATTTAACAGACTTAATATTTAAGTGTCATGATTTAACAGATTAATATTCTTAGCAGACTTAATATTGAAGTGTCATAATTTAACAGACTTAATATTGAAGTGTCATGATTTAGCAGACTAATATTGAAGTGTCATAATTTAACAGACTTAATATTGAAGTGTCATGATTTAGCAGACTAATATTGAAGTGTCATGATTTAACAGACTTAATATTGAAGTGTCATGATTTAGCAGACTAATATTGAAGTGTCATAATTTAACAGACTTAATATTGAAGTGTCATGATTTAGCAGACTAATATTGAAGTGTCATGATTTAACAGACTTAATATTGAAGTGTCATGATTTAACAGACTTAATATTGAAGTGTCATGATTTAGCAGACTAATATTGAAATGTCATGATTTAACAGACTTAATATTGAACTGTCATGATTTAGCAGACTAATATTGAAGTGTCATGATTTAACAGACTTAATATTGAAGTGTCATGATTTAACAGACTTAATATTGAAGTGTCATGATTTAGCAGACTAATATTTAAGTGTCATGATTTAACAGACTTAATATTGAAGTGTCATGATTTAGCAGACTAATATTGAAGTGTCATGATTTAACAGACTTAATATTGAAGTGTCATGATTGAACAGTCTTAATATTGAAGTGTCATGATTTAACAGTCTTAATATTGAAGTGTCATGATTTAGCAGACTTAATATTGAAGTGTCATGATTTAACAGACATAATATTGAAGTGTCATGATTTAACAGTCTTAATATTGAAGTGTCATGATGGCAGCATCAAATTGTCATCGTGCGTCGTCCGCTGTGCGTGAACTTTTGACACTTTAATTTTTTTCTAAAGTTCCACCAGTTGGATTGAGCTTACACTTGCATGAAATGATCCTGAGATGGTCATGACCAAATGTATTTTTTTTAATTTTTTGATAAGGTCGCAATTTTTTAAAATAACAATTTCGAAAGCAAAGTTTACAAAGAAAAGCATGATTCAAATGGAAATTTTTTGGGTATCGATATTGATATTGAGGGTACTAGAATAACTTTAATTACTATTTATGGACCAAATCACGATAATCCTGATTTTTATAATCAAGTCTCAGATGCCATAGACAGTTTTGGAAATGAAAAAGTAATAGTTTGTGGTGATTTCAATTTGGTATTGAGTCCAGATTTAGACTTTGATAATACATATAGAAATATAAACAATGCAGCTGCTAGGAATATGGTTTTAGAAATAAACGATACATATAATCTTATTGATATTTATAGAGAACTGCACCAAGATACCAAGAGGTATTCTTGGAGAAGAAATAATTCTGTAAAACAGGCCAGACTTCTTCCTTGTTTTAGACTGTCTGTTATCTAGTGTTAAAAAATCAATTACTGAATCTAGTTATAGATCTGACCATTCAGCTACAGTTACAGCTTTACAGTTAAATGAATTTAAAAGAGGGAGGGGTCTATGGAAACTTAATCATTCTTTTGTTGTGTGATCCTGAATATTAAGATGTGGTTAAAAAATGTATAGAGAATGTTAAGTCACAATATTGCTTGCCTGCCTATAATATTAGTGATATTAACGATATTCCTGATAGTGAGGTTCAGTTTCTGATTAATGATCAATTGTTTTGGGAAACTTTATTAATGGAAATTAGGGGCAAATCAATATCTTATGCTTCATATAGAAACAGACAACTAAACAGCCAAGAGGAATATTTAAAGAAGTTGATAGAAAGTTTAGAAACTAGCTTAAACCCAGACCAGGAAGAATTAGATAATAGAAAACAAGAATTAGAATCTTTACGATTGAGAAAGATAAAGGGAAGATCAAGAGCAAAATGGATCAAAGAAGGGGAAAAGCCTACTTCCTATTTCTTGAATTTGGAAAATCGAAATTTCACTTCTAAAATAATTCCAAAATTACAAAAAGATAATGGTGACGTGATTACAAACCAGGGGGATATTTTAGATGAAGTTAGATTATTCTATGATAATTTATACAGATTTAAAGATGTTAATGCTGTCAATTTGAATTATCATCTTCAGGGTTGTGGAGTACCAAAATTAAGTAACACAGAGTCTAAGAATCTGGATGGTTTGATCACTATAGAAGAGGCAGGTAAAGTTTTGAAAGATATGAACAATGATAAGAGTCCCGGATCAGACGGTTTCACCCCTGGATTTTTTAAGACCTTTTGGAAATTTATAGGAGTATTTGTTGTCCGTTCAATAAATTACAGTTTTTCTGTTGGTCAGCATTCTATCACTCGGAGACATGGCATAATAACCTGTATTCCAAAGGGAGATAAAGCACGTCATTTCTTAAACAAGAGATCCCAGAGGGATCTTGGTGCCCACCATTTGAGGATCTGTTTTCAGTTCTTGAAGATTTGTTTATTTTTTTTGTGTGTTACAGGTGTTGTAAATGTTCATGAACTGGTCTTCATTGAATGTACTCAATGATGGCACAAGATATTTTTATTAAGCACCTATTAGCAAATATCATTTGAAAAAGATCCCAAAGTATTATTAGATAGCAGTCAGTTACAGGTGGATAATGGACAATATGCTTGTGCTGTATTACTGTCGACATCCAAGATGGCTGCCTGTGGGCCACCTTGATTTCAAATCAGTCCAAAAAAGGTACAATGCACAACTAGGGACCAAGGGGAAACTGCATATGAAATTTGAGAAAGATCCATCCAGTACTTTCCAAGAAATAGTAACAAACTTTTACTTCCAAAATCCAAGATGGCTGCCTGTCGGCCATCTTGAATTCGAATCAGTCCAAAAAAGGT